ACAAACCCAATAAACAAGGCCCCCCCCCCCCCCGTTCCTCTAACCAATCACAAGACAGCGCGACCCGGAGAAAATCTGAGGGGGAGGGGAGAAGAGGGACGCCCTCACACCTGTAACCGTTCGGAGGCCCCAAACCTCGTTCCGGCTCCTCCCCCTCCCCCTGAGGGGGCCCTAACGGCTCTTCCCGACCCACCCGCAGCGAATTCTTCTCCGTCAGTGAGGGCTCCCGCAGCACTCCGTTGCCACCACTCGCCTTTTCTCCTCTCAGGAGCAGGTTCCTTCCCGCTGTCTGGTCGGTGACGGCAGCGACAGCCTCTCTCTACCCTCCAGGCCGCAAACAGGAATTGCGTCACGCGCAGAAAGCGGTCCCTCCCCCACGGTGAAGCGTAGACTGTCACTTCCGCCAAGGTCGCGGAAGCTTCTAGAATAGGGGTTACTCCTCCCCCCCCCTTTGCCGCCGCCGCCGCCGCCCCCCCTCCCTCGCCGCCTTTATCGTCTCACGAGAAAGCGCGGACGCCCCCTTGTGGTTATGATTCGTCGGTGCGCTTTCCTGAGACGGGCGAGGGGGACGGAGCTCACGCGTGGCCGTAAAATCATAATGTAGGGACGGGTTTTGCGACCTTCCCCGGAGTAGGTGTGATTATTTTCGAAGAACTCCGATATTTGTAGCCTTGTCTGATTTTATGATATGTCTATTTAGCATTTGCTCAGATTGCTTCCCCTAAAATATCTTGTTGGAATCCCAATAACAGCCCTGTAGGGCGCACTAGTATTATTCATTCCTTCTATTACGGAAGGGAAGGGGCAGAGAATGAGAGAGGGTGGCAAGGAGACGCCGGTGGACTCTCCTTTGGTTGCCCAGTGTTCCCTCTAAGCTGAGTTAGTGGGAGCTAGCTCACAGTTTTTAAGCCTCCGGCTCACACATTTTTATCTCAGCTCAGGAAGGAGGGCTCCAGGGAAGACTAATTTATGCAGCAGCCAAATCGCTCGCTCACCACTTTAATGCCAGTAGCTCACAAAGCAGAATTTTTGCTCACGAGACTCCACAGCTTAGAGGGAGCATTGCCCACTTCCCCACTAAGTGAGGGCCACTGGGGTAACTGTTAATGTGTCAACACGCCAAAGGTGCAAAGTCACTTCTGGTTTCACTGTAGAGTGTTGCCCAGCTCCTGGCCATTCAATGGGGTAATGGAACCCCTATTTATGGTACCCCATAGAGACAGATTGTCACCTGTAGAGACAGTAACGGCCAGAGGTCAACTGGGGATTGAGAGAAGGATGGGACTGCTATTTGTTGGCATCTTCTTATGGGCCATCAGAATAGATTTTTCTCCCTACCACTGAGAAATAACTGAAGAAGATTCTGAGAGGTTTTTAGGCTGTGTGGAACTTAACTGCATAGTTCTGTCAGCAAAAATATATTAAACGATTAGTGTCATCTACAGAACATCTACAGGAGATAGATCAAGGCTGGAAGAAAGGGGGGATTTGATATGTGGGTAAATTTAAATTTACAATTTGATTTTGGTAGAAGGAAGTAATCTCAAAAGAAGGTAAAGAGTAGGAGAAGCGGACTGTATACCTCAACGTGCTATCACATCTCCATTGAGCCCCCTCCTGTACCTGAACTCTGCCCTTCTCAGCCACCCCCCCCCCCCCCCCCCGCCTCCAGAAATTTTACAAGCCACAGCCGACAACACTATCAGGGGGTCTTTCAGAAGACCCAAGGAGGCATCATGACTTGAAACCTCCAAATATTTTGTGACTGCCCCCTCAGGGCAACCCTTTTGGCACAGCACCTTTTTTCAAAATTCCAAAACTGCCCACAGGGCTGCCAACCTAAAACTCCAGCCACTTTGGATCTCACCCCAATTTTCCAGGAATGTTCCAACCTCCAAGTTGGCAGCCCTAGACAGGCTCAACAGCATCGGGGACCCCTGATCCGTGCTATGCCCATTCCTGTATGCATCTGTATACACACACACACTTGTATGTGTGTGATCATGTATGAACATTTACAAAGGAAGGACACAGTTTATAGTATAGACGGGCCTTGGAGACAGGTGTCTTATCTATACATGTAAGAGAGAGCCCACATTTTCAGCATAACATCTCATGCCTCTATGAATCTGTCCTGAACTGCTTTGGCCAGCATGGGCAAGAGAGGAAGGGGAATGTAAGACTGTAAGGGGACCCTGTTCTCTTTCACTGAGCCCCAAGACGCCTTCTCCTTAGAATCTGCATTGACGACTCTACTACTTTCCCTCATTTTACTACCACTCTTGTAACACATCAAGAAATGCCTCTTCTAAAGGAAGGATGCACCATCTAGAACTGATCACTCCCCAAGTATTACTTTATTCATATGCAAATGCATGCAAATTGACTCGGTTCTTTCCACCCAGTTTCCCATCACCGGGTGGGAATTCCTCTTGATGTCTCTGAACTAGTATATCAGCTCCCAATACCCCTACGTTTCCCAAGACTGGAAGAAACAAAGGATGACAACTGCAGGATGAAACCTCTCCACCTCTGTCTTCCCCTCTGGGGTGTTCCCGGACAGAAGGCATCTCACCACTTACAGCAATTTGGAAGGCAGAGCCCTGCTTCCTTGTTTACAGCCTGCTGGCTCAATTGACTCTTAACTCTGGTGATCTGTCTGGGAGTCACACGGAATGGGAGGAAGGACTCACTGCAGTAGAGCTCAAGGTGCTAGTGCACTGCCCCCGTGAGAATGGATTCATAGAAGCCAGGGGATCCCCCAACCTTTCTGAGCCTGTGGGCACCTTGGAATTCTGACACCGTGTGGTGAAGCACAGCCACAAAATGGCTGATACAAAAAAGGCTGCCACAGAAAGCCTTGCCAGCCACAAAAGAGCTGCCACCACTTACCTCCACTCATACCGTGAAGATCCTTGAGTTGTGGTGGCAATTGCTGCCAAAGCCGTTTTAAGAAATCTGCCGCCAATCAAATCTCCAATAGCCAATAGCCCCATCTGATCCCACCCACTTTCTAAAAAAATACTTGGCAGCACCAGGAGAGGTGTCAGAGGGCACCGTGAGGTTCACGGGCACCACATTGGGGACCCCTGATATAGGCAATGCAGACATCATCATATGCAGGGTTTAAAGAGAGCTTAAAACTGGGCCACACCTGCAGCCTTAGACTTCAGAATGAATGAAGAGGTGCTTCTTTGGTGTTCCCTGGGGATCTGCAACTTTTGCTCTAGAGCCCAATACGGCTCTTTGAAAAAAGGTAACGAAATCTTCCAGTTAAGGCCCATCAAAGCAGAATGGAATGGCAGGCAAAGAATTTTATAGGACCAAAGGGCTTTGAAGAGTTGCTTGGCAGAAACGGACATGATAGAAGTGAACAGTCGCCAATAATCCAGGTATAGATTTATGCGAGGGCATTAAAAAATAAATCACAAAGTGCTCTTGTGCAGATTTATTATGTAGTGCATGGTCTCATGTCCCACTACTTTAAAAAGGACATGCCACAGCCAGTCTTTGGGCTGCAGAAATTATTCACCAACATGAGTTATCAGAAATTCAAGGTGTGCGCGTACACAAAAGCTCACACCTTGAATAAAACTTTGTTGGTCTTAAAGGTGCCACTGGACTCCAACTTTGTTCTGTTGCTTCAAACCAACATGGTTGCCCACTTTATCAGAAATGTTATGTAGTTGCAGTTATGCAAATTGGCCTTATATTGGTTCATTGCTAAGCAAATGTGGAAGGATCTCAACTCAGTAACATGGCAGGCCTCTCCAAGTAACACAGGCCAGAATCCAACTAACCTGGCCAATCGTTCAAGGTGGCCGGGGGGCTTCCAGTTCTTGAAAAGTATTTTCTCGTGCCTTGTGGCACACCATTTCAGAATATTGTGGTACGGGCACAGGGGAGGGGGAGCTGCTCAAAGCCCACTAAGCACAAACAAGACCTGCGGACCCCAACTACAGCCGTTTGCCCCCTCAGCCGTACCTTTGTTTTCACAGCACTTTGTATCTGGAGAGATGCACAAGAATAGGAGCGAATATGACCAATCATACTGATAATGTGGCATAACCACCCGAGTCCTGGACGTGTACAATTCATTAGAAAAATGTTTAATTTACATTTTACAACTCACAAACAAGCCAGTTTCCAATGAAACAAAATAAAGTAAATTGAAAAATAATGGTAAAATATTTAACGCTTTAGATGATATAGAATAAATAATGCTTCCTAAAGGAAATGTTCAGGTTTTGTTTTTGAGACAAGGCAGCAGTAGTGTTAGGAAGGGAGTTTCGATAGCCCTTCTGTGTTTGACTCCATTATCCATATTTAAAAACACATACACACAGGCAGCCAACATTTAGGAAAATAACAGGCAGCATATTGTGACCATTTATAAAGAAAACAGCTTAGAGCAAAACCAAAAAGAAAACAATTGCTTTATTTCTATACATTGGGACTACAAATAGTATTTTTAAACACTTCATTTTTTTATCCAAATAATGAAATTATACATTTTGTACTAACACTAGTAAACATCTTAAAATCACTCAGAGCTCTTTTGCACATTTAAAATATATTGCTATTTACTGCTAATTAAATATGAAATCCAGGAGCTTCCTGCAGCAGTAAAATAGATCTTGTTTTGTTTTTTTAAGTCCAGGAGACTATGAATGTTGTAGCCCCTGTTGTAAAATTCTCCGATCTTTTTTAAACAGATGCTAAAGGATGAACTTGATTCTGCCTCTGTTGATGATTTAAGTTCCAATATTTATATATAATTTTTTTTTTAAAGCAAGAATTGCACGTGAAGACAAGTGTAGACCCAGCGTTGGGACTATTTCTCAATCACCTCCTCTCACACAAAACAAACGTTTCAAATACGGACAAGTATCAGATTTCTCCTTCCTCCATGTCCAAAGATACCTGTGAGCTGTGCAAAGAGGGCTCTTAGGTGCTTAAGCCACGGAAAACAATGAGAGCAGTCCTGTGTTTGTACACCACACACACACACACAGTTATCCTGGGTGAATGAAGCAAAATGAGATTACGTGAACGCTTGCAGGCTTTCAGATATAAAAGGTAAAAGCCTGATTGCCGCAGTTCAAAATTATTTTAATAGCTGATACAAATATTTGCTTCCCCCCCAAGTCACAACTATTGCCTATACGCTGAAGAAGTTTGATACATTTTAAAAAAGAAATCTACAGGCACAGAGGAAAAAATAAAACGGGGGGGGGGGACCCACATGGATATAGTTACGTCCGCCCGTAACAACATCCAACTGATCATGACAAAAGTTAAGGGGGCAACTGAAGACCAAGCGTGACCATCTGGGCTTCAAAACACAGAAAGGACATAAAAGCTCGCT